TCTGATTTCAAATCTGCCAAACCTAGCACGTCTGAATTTTACTGAACCAGGAAATGACCAGGGAATTGCAAATTTTAGGCCATAAAGCTGAGTTAGAGATTTTTTATTTAGCAATTATTGGTTTAGTGAATAATACTGAATGAGTTTTCTCTTTTTAACTATGTTCTGGAAAACATAATCAATACAGCTATACTGCCATACTTTACTGAGATAAAGACTAATTAATTAGCTGTTATTGTGTCTGAATTTGGCCAATACACTGTGTTGAGACCAGATATTATGAGCTAAAACCAGCTTGATTTCTGAGCGGGGACCCACCGAAGGGCAGGCTATTTCAGCTGCTGTCCGTTCTCAGAATACTCTTGCGACCCGTTTTTTGCTCTCCATTAGTTTAAAGGGTAATCCAGACGTGGACCCCTTGCTCACGGTGCCTAGAGAGATATCAGCTATGCCTCACTGATGATGCCTAACAAGGCTGAAACGATTGTCTGGGGTTGCTGTATCTCTCGTGCAGAGAGAACTTGCTGGCATTTCGGATCTGGACTGCCCATATGGGTGGGACCAGTCTGATATGCTTCAGATATGTTCTCTCTGTAATGGCACATGATGTGCTAAAACCAGCTTGAGTTCTGAGCAGGGACCCACCGAAGGGCAGGCTGTTTTAGCTGTTGTCCGTTCTCAGAATACTCTTGCGACCCTTTTTTGCTCTCCAGATATTATCAGTGAATGTTATAGGGCAATACCTAGGTTACTTGGCACCCAGTACAGGTATGTATATTGACAATCCCAACCCCGAATTATAAACTTGTGCTGATGTACACCCCCTCATCGGTTTGTGTTTCTCTCTTCGTGTGCAGTTCTACAAGTACCCTCATTTCATCTTGTATATCTCTTAAAGGACCACTATTGTGCCAGGAAAACATACTCGTTTTCCTGGCACTATTGTGCCCTGAGGGTGCCCCCACCCTCAGGGTCCCCCTCCCGCCCGGCTCTGGAAGGGGGAAAGGGGTAAAAACTTACCTTTTTCCAGCGCTGGGCGGGGAGCTCTCCTCGTCTGATCCTCCTCCTCTCCTCCCCGTTGGCTGAATGCATTATCAATGCTTTCCTATGGATGCTGGCGTGCTCTCACTGTGAAAATCACAGTGAGAAGCACGCAAGCGCCTCTAGCGGCTGTCAATGAGACAGCCGCTAGAGGCTTTGGGGGAAGGCTTAACCCATTTATAAACATAGCAGTTTCTCTGAAACTGCTATGTTTATAAAAGAATGGGTTAACCCTAGCTGGACCTGGCACCCAGACCACTTCATTAAGCTGAAGTGGTCTGGGTGCCTATAGTGGTCCTTTAAAGGGATACTATTGATGCCAAAAAAACTTTAGCTTAATGAAGCAGTTTGGTGTATAGTCTAAATGTGACGCACCGCCTGGTACCCTGGCTGGGTACCTCCGTCATGCTTGCTTTCTAACTTTCACCGAGACACCAGCAGCACTCCAGACTCTAGCCGCCATCTCTTCCCGCCCTGGAACAGGGTCCTGGGTACAGCTCCAAATGATTAAGCTTTCCTGCAGAGAGTATAGCTGGTCAACCCAAACACTAGCCGAGACTTAGTAAAAGGTGAAGTAGAACTGATTTATTATGGTCAAGTGGCCTGCTTATATACATAAACCACAGCAGCGGGTCTCCTTTCAATACAGCACAAGCTCCTCCCATAGATCTCTGGCATGGGAGATGTGACGAAGTGCCCTTCGCCACTTGGTCCTGGAGAGGCCTACTTGCCAGCCTCCTCCCCTGTGACTATGACTCTTTCATGTATCTGGCTTTAAAGCCCCTATTCTACCTTCAGACATACTATTTATGTAGGCTGCTTTATTTATCTTATGTTTTAGTCACCCTGTACCCATTATAGGTGCAGGGTGTGTGTAATGTAATTGTTTATAGTGTGTGTGTGTGTGTGTACTGTGTAATGTATTGCTTGCTCTCTTGTATTGCTGAGGTTTGCTACCAACTAGGTGGGTTTGGCTATGGAGCTGGTCTAGTGCCCTCTGTTGGTAGCAACAGCAATATGCACTACCTGAATTGCAAGACTGGTTCATTTGCATATTCGGGTAGATTTGCATATTGCTAATTCTGCAGGCAGGTGAGATATTTAATGTTAAATATTGTCTCCCCCACCCCTTTAAACACCATTGTGTTGTGATAAGTCACTGTGTGTTGCTTGATGTGTTTTGACTGTTTGTGATTTTATTGAGGTTTCACAACAATGTTATTGTGGTGACTGTATTGGCTGGTCCCAAGGGAATAAAGGTTTTGACAGTTCTTCTTGATCCCTCTAAACATAGCCTTGTCTCATTATTGGAGGGAGCTGTTATAATCACACTGGGGATTGCTATGCTCTGCATGCTCCCCTGAGCTTGAGTCACTTAGCTCTTTTAAGAGCTTGTTCCTGACACGCTCTCCTTGGAGGAGGGGTCTTCACCACACAGTCCTGGATGCTGGAGGTTCATACAGGGTGGAAGGAAGAGTTCTTTCCCACACAGTCCTGGAGGACAGAAGCTGATCCAGGGTGGAAGGAAGACGGCGAGACTCCAGTCAAGATACGGCGGTTGCGGAGTCTGCGGTGGTTGTGGTGTCTGCTGCAGTGCTTGGAGTCCTCAGGAAGCGCTAGGAGCATCCGTCAACGGAGGGTACTCAGTTGGAGTACAAGGAGCTCCGTTACAGGAGATAATTGCATTAAAGACTGATAAGCAAATTATCTCCCAGAAGCAGAGATCCAAACATAAAATATAAAAACATAAAAATATCCCAAAACATAATAAAAATATACAATAACCCACAAATCATACACCCCCAAAAACTTCTGATCTGAGTGCCCAAGTTGTCCAAATAGCGCTCAGATCCATGCAGTACAAAGGAATCGCCACCTTGTCAAAGTTCTAACACACGTGGTCCTATGCCCAAAACTGTTCCGGGGCGATCAGTGCTTTTGACAGTCAACTTTCGGGGGTTTCCGGCAGACAAACCACAAGATGCTCTCCCTGGCTCTCAGGCAGCATTTGTTCTCCCTAGTCTCAGACACCTTCCCTCCAAAAAGTGCTCTCTTGGCGGATTGTAAAAGGTGTCTGGACACTGGACCAAGTTGCCCGGGAACCACACGACCGACCGGGAAACGCAAAGTCCTAATGCCAAATTTAGTTCTAGGGCATTCGTGGTTAAGTACTGCTGAAGTCTTTTTGCGGTTTTGCTCCATGCAAATGGATGCCAGGGAGCTAGCTTTCAGTTCCATATGCACAAAGGGAAAGTACCAAAACCAGGGGAACCGGAGGAAAATCTCTTGGGGAGGCCAGGTAAGCTAACTCTCGAACAGGGTTTTTGGACATGGCACATAGTCCTTGGGCAGGAGGCTAGCTAGCAGGCTCCTCCAGGAGCTTGTGGCATAGGGCCATTTGCAACAGTCTCAATGAAAAATTATCTGCCATTTAGGAGTTAATCACCTTTGTTTTTGTCCATGCAGCAAATACACTTACCAGGGGGGGAGGAGAGGAGGCTGGAGGTACCACGGTCCCTGGTGTCTAGTGGTGCATCCCTGATTTCTACTCTGTGGATGGGACAGTTAGCAGGCAGAAGGTGATGCCATCACTCTGCACACATTGCCTGTATTGGAGAGGAAGCTCCCTCCCTGCAAGACCCGGGCAGAGGATAATGAAATATTGTAACTGGGTTGTGCAAGTTCATGCTACAAAGAGTGACAGGCGGGACAGGGATGCTTTGTGTACCCCATCCCAGATGTCACCCTGGACAGACTACCCAAGCCCCCACTGCCCCATGATTGGAACAACACTGAATGTTGGAGGACTCTCTCGTATATAGGGAACATAATTCTTTATAAAGTAAAGATAATAAATATAGCCCATATACCATACAGCATGTCACCTGACACTCTTAACCTATCACTGCTACCCCTTCCCTGCTTCCACTTGAGCCCAAGCACAGCAGGATAGGTGACCAGCACATGGGGACACTCGTTCTGTGTTAAACCATTCAAAAACGGTCTAACACTGAAAGGTAAGACAGCGCTAGGGTACTCCAGGTGCCATAACTACTTAATAGAGATTAAGAAGTAATGGTGCCTGGAAATATAAAAATGTGTCTTTGTGGTAAATGACTCATGAAGCAGAATTCAAGGGTTCAAATTCCTCCAGGGACAGAACATCCCTTGGACTTTTGACAATTCTGTTTGTTCTTAGGGTTTGGTACATAACAAACAGACACACAATGATTGATTATTTCCCTTTGAAGTATGCTTCCCCCCAGAGTTATTACTAGAAATTGCAGGAAGCCAGTAAAAGAAGCAATGAAGGGTCTCCCTTCTTCTCATAACCATCTGCCACCCACTACCCTCTCCTTTTCGCCTTGCGTGTCTGGTTGGCTCAGTGTGATTTGTTTTGGTTGCCCAAGTGTGACTTGGGGTTGGTTGAGTGCAATTGTGTGCAGGGCCGGATTAACATAGGGAGTGATGGAGCTGCAGCTCCAGGCCCGTGGAATAGGCCCATTGACTTTAAAAAAAAAAAAAACTTTTTTTTTTTGTTTTTGTTTTTTACACACACACGCTACTGTTAGGGTTGCCCCCTGGCCAGTATTTATTTGAGGCTGCCTGGCCGGTGCTGATATTGCAGTTTTACCGGCAATACAAATGCCGGTATTTTTCTCAGTATTTTTATTATTTTATAATTTATATAGCGCCATCAAATTCCATAGCGCTGTACAATGTTATAAACAGTGTGTGTGTGTGAAGAGAGGCAGGGATAGGAAGTTACACCATATACCTGAATCTCTCTACTCACTGATCCGCGGGGGAGCAGCTACACAGCACAGAGAGTGCAGACAGCAGCTCCCAGCCTGCAGAGACAGACTACAGCTCAGGAAAGTGAGGGATGAGAGAAAAGGCTGCAGGGAGACATAGGGACATATGGAGACCTCTGGGGATGCTGAGACACTTGGGGACACAGACACTAGGGGGCACTGGGAGACATGGGGACACAGACACTTGGGGTCACTGAGACATGGGGAAACAGACACACATGGTAACACTGAGACACTAGGGACACAATGTATCCAAGTGTCTAAGTGTCCCAAGTGTCTGTGTCCCCATGTCTCCCAGTGTCCCCTACTGACATGGGGACCCTGAGCGATATGGAGACATGGGGCAACATGGGGACACAGAGACATGGGACACTGAGACATGGGACACGTAGGGACACTGATACATAGTCTGTGTTCCCAAATGTCTATGTCCCCTAGTAACATGGGGACACAGACACTAGTGGACACTTGGTGACATGGGGACACTGGGAGACAGGGGGACACTGGAAGTAATCCATCTATACAGCAGAATTAAACTAAGTAGTTTTTTGGTGATTTTACAGAATTTTCTCTTATGTCACTCCTTGTGATTTACATAATGTGATGTCACACATACATAATTCGTTATGCAAATTAGTAACAGGCCTGTATTTTTTCCAAGTAGGGTGGCAACCCTAACTACTCTTCACATATTCTTGCTTAAGTATGGAAGCTTATGGAAACAAAACTTGTGTGGACTAGCTGAAATTAAATTAGTTTTAAAAAAATGCTGACTTTGGTCTCCAACACTGTGACATGTTCCATTTCTTCTACACTCACTACATCCACCTTTTTTCGGTCTCAGACTGTATACCAGGAGCTTCTACCTGCTAGTAAGAAGGTAAGGAGAGAAGTAGACATGTGAGTGCTAGAGGAAAGTTCTTAGAAAGCATGGAGCGAGCGAATCATTAGACGCATTTATGCCAAACTCAGGATGCTGTTGGCTAGCGTGCATGATTGGCAGGCAGCCTCACATGCATTCATGCCAGGCTAGCCTTTCAATTCTTTGGGCAGACATGCCTCCTTTTTGGGCATGTTCGTCCCTTTCTAAAGTTCTGGTTACGTGATCCGCATCAGTGGCCCACTCTTTTACCCCGTCCATTGACTTTCTGCTTCCCTGGACACTGCTGTTAGGGAGTATGGATTTACTTGAAAGTTGAAAGCATGATTAGTATATTTTAAGAGAGTCTGCATTTTCTTATAGATGCATCCTATGTGTTTCTCTCTGGCGACATCTCCACCAGATACATAACGCTTGAGAGGTATGAGTGTTTTAGTATTTTTGGTCGATAAGATTCTGTACATAGGCCCCTCATAATTGTCAGCACCAGGCCCACTGGGTTCTTAATCTGGCTCTGATTGTGTGTGTGGTTGGCTGAGGGTGTTTGTGGGTTGGGTTGGCCGAGTGTGATTGTTTGAGAGTGGGGTTAACTGACTGATTGTTTGGGCATTAGGTTGGATGACTGTATTTGTGTTTGGATGCTGGCCAAGTGTGTCAGGGTGCTGGCTAAATGTTTGTGTTTCGTCAAGTGTAATTGTGTGTGGTTGGCGGAGTGTGAAAGTGTGTGTTTAATATTAACCCCTCCCCCTGCAGGGAGTGTGATATATTTCCTGATTCTCCAATGGGTGCTGTTGGCAGGATGTCTGATGGACCAGTGGAGACATCTGTATCTCTGATGGGTGCAGACTGCAACACGTGTTCCTTTCAGGGAATTCAGGTTATATTAATGCAGGAGAGTGATCCCGATAATAGGCAGGCCATTGTGAATATTAAATGAGACATGGGCTACATTAGAATTTTTTAGTGGGGAATTGAGGGACTATCTCTAATAAAAAAGAAAAATAACAATTCTTAATTTACGCCTACTCCTAGTGATACATGGCATGCAGAACAACAAATAAAGAAGGGCAACAAAGTTTGTCATTGAATTACATATATTTAGTGCATATAAAAATAATGCTTCATTTTACCTGTATATTCCAGCGTGAAGTCTTTTTGGAGAGGTCCAGAGAGAGACTCATGTTGGACCCAGCAGGAGAAGGTCTGGGTTCTGTCTTCCTCGCTGGGTATTATGGTTACTGTACTGTTCACACTGTATGTATTGTCTATGTTCATCTGAGGTGTGGATACTGTGTCATTATTTAGGATCTCCCCGTTCCTCAACCATTTAATGTCGATATTCACAGGACAGAATCCAGTGACGGTGCTTCTTAGAATACTCTCTTTATTCATAACAGCAGTTTTACTAATGATAGTGATCATCGGAGGAGCTGGAATGGATTAAAAAAAGTCAGACAAAAAATAAATAAATTAATAATAACCTGTATCTCAGAGAAATCAGTGGACTTTATCAGGACAGGTTCAGGCAGCACTTGGTTTAAATCTAATAGAAACATAGAATGTGACGCAGATAAGAACCATTCGGCCCATCTAGTCTGCCCAATTTTCTAAATACTTTCATTAGTCCCTGGCCCCATATGGTTTCCAGATACCGATACCTTTGTTAGACAGGACTTTTGTGAACTCAGCCTCCCAGAACAAGCAAGGAGACTTCGGAAGTCAGGTACCTGGAAACCGTATGTTAATCCAGTTTAGTTCATTGACTGTGATGGAAAGGATCCACTTTTAACTGCCTGCTGTTTTTTAATGAGTGGAATAAAGCTTTTACCTTTATTATTGGCTGTCCATCGATTTTGTCAAGGAAAAAATCCTGTGCACACTGTATTACAGTGAACAAGCGCAAATAGCCCGAGCAGTGTCTTTACCTGCTCAATGTCTGTGAGTGCTATAATATACCCTGTATTTATATATATCATTGTGTTTGCAATATTACACGATCTACCTCTTATGTATTTTTTTTTTACATGTGGAAAACCTGCTCTCTGTGAAATAAGTTTGTGAGTGTAACTCCATTAGCACATTGATTTTTACCACACTGGTTTTGAGTAATATGTTGATGTACACAGTATATATAAAGCACCTTTGATATTTAGGAACTTTTGTGTGGATTGTTGCATTAACGGTTACACACATACTTTGAAGGGTAACTGCACAGTATTGCACAAATATTGAATTTTTTGCACAAATAAATCAGATTTTGTTGTATTTAAATACTGTATCTGCTGAGGTTGATTGCAATACACTAGAGCAGTGATGGCGAACCTATGGCACGAGCGCCACAGGTGGCACGCGGTCATAGCTCGCCATCAATGCAGAGTAGGGGCTTGCCGTTTCGGGAGGACAGGGGGAGGGATCTGAGAAGCAGCTCTCCCTTCCTCCCGCGAGCAGCCTGTGTGGAGCGTTGCCACGCGTTACCATGGCAACACTCTACACAGCATCGCGCAGGAGGACAGGAGAGCTGCAGGACCTGTCCCTCTTACCACCACCGGACCACCAGGGATTTATGTGGCCCCCCTCCTTCACATAAGGTAAGCAGAAGGGAGAGGGAGATACAAATTGTAATAATATATTTGCAGCACTCACCCCACACACACACACACACAACACAGCACCGCTCCCACACACACACACACACACAGCACCCTCCCCCCACACACACACAGCACCCCCCCACACCACCCCCACACACAGCACCCCCTCACAGCACCCCCCCCGCACATACAACACCCCCTCACACACACATACAACACCCACTCACACATACACACACACACACAACACTCACACACACAACACTCACACACACAGCACCCCCACACCGCAACCCTCAGACACACTGCAACCCTCAGACACAGCACTCCACACACACTCCGCACCCGTACACACAAACACTGCACCCCTCAATGCAGCATGTGTGTGTGTTTGTGTGTATGTATTCAGCAGTTTGTGTGTACTCGGCAGTCTGTCTATACTCAGCATTCTGCCTGTGTCTGTGTGTATTCAGCAGTCTGTCTGTATGTGTATTCAGCAGTCTATATGTATTGAGCAGTCTGTGTGTGTATTTAGTGGACTGTATGTACGTATTCAGCAGTCTGTGTGTATGTTTGTGTGTGCGTGTATGCAGTGGACTATGCATGTATTCAGCGGACTGTGTGTGTCAGTGTGTATGCATTCAGCAGTCTGTGTGTATGTATTTTATGTATGTATTGCATTTGTTAGAGATACTAATAAATATAAGCCTAATTTTATCTATAATTTTTATTTGTATTCCTGTGAGTTGTGTTTAGGCATGTCCCCAGTGCACTGCTTTGCCCGGGGGCCCATAATGTTGTTAAGGTGGCACTGGTGGGTGGGTGGGATGGAGGGCTGCAAGGGAGCTCAGACTTACGTGCTGTTACAGCACTGCTCCCTCCATTGCGCCGCCACCTGATTGACGTAATTTCCTGTTTCCCGGCAGCATCAGCGGAGGGAATAGTGCTGGAACAGCACGTAAGCCAGTGCTCCCTCGCGCCCACACCCCCTCACAGCAGCAGGAAGGAGGTAGGGAGCCTGGGAGGACTTCAAACTATGGGGTAGTGAGGTGAAGATGCTGCAGGGAGAGAAGAGGAGATGCTGCGGGGAAAGAAGTTGAGATGCTGCGGGTAGAGAAGAGGAGATGCTGCGGGGAGAGAAGAGGAGATGCTGCGGGTAGAGAAGAGGAGAATCTGGGGGAGACGAAGAGGAGAATCTGGGAGAGAGGAGAAGGAGATGCTGGGTGAGAGGAAGAGGAGAATCTGGAGGAGAGGAAGAGGAGAATCTGGGAGAGAGGAGAAGGAGATGCTGGGTGAGAGGAAGAGGAGAATCTGGAGGAGAGGAGGAAAAGGAGGTGCTGGGGAGAGGAGGAGATGCTGCGTGTTGGCATGTATTGCGGTTTGGGCACTCAGGCTCAAAAAGGTTCGCCATCACTGCACTAGAGGTTTTGTGAGCACAATCTTAAAGGCACAGCACACTTTATATTGGTCTTTTGCTCTTTAAATAATAAAACAGCCCCCCACCCCTTTCTTGCCTTCCCTGTATTTTCTATATAAAGAGTACCCTGGTATTGCTATATCCCAGTCATTTTTCTCATTATACCATGTCTCAGTAACAGCGACTAAATCTACACTATCAGTTGCCATTATTGCCACAAGTTCATGGATGTTATTCCCTAAACTGCGAGCATTTGTAGACATGGCTCTAAGCTTATCATTTTTTGACACACTTGCTACAGGCACCTTCTGTTCTTGTTTTGGGGGACATTTGGATTGATGTTTTATTACCCTTTTGCCCCCCCTCCTAGTTTAAATACATCCTAGCAAAACCTCTGAACTGCTCACTGAGAACATTTGTTTCC